CGTGCCTCCCCCCCCCGCCCCAGCTGCTGTGCCCACACGCAGCACCGCTCCCTGCACCGCCAGGGCCTGGATCCTGGATCCCGGCCCCTTCCCTGCACCTACCCCCGTGCCGCGGCGCCGGCCCCGGGCAGCAGGCGCAGGAAGCCCCGGCAGCCCTCGCTCTGTTTTCGCAGCTGGGTTGGTTACGAGCACACCGGCTTCTGCGGGCAGCAGTTCACCCTGGAGAGGGGCGAGTACCCCCGCTGGGACGCCTGGAGCGGCAGCAACGCCTACCACATCGAGCGCCTGATGTCCTTCCGCCCCATCTGCTCCGCTGTGAGTGCCCCGGCGCGAGGGGAGCCGTGTCCCTCGCTGTCCCCAGCCCGCGGGCACAGGCAGGGCAGGAGCCACCCCGGGTTTCTCCGCTGCAGCAGCCTCTGCTGCCCCCGTGCAGACCCAGGCAGGGGCTGGAGGGGGCACTGGCTGCAGGGCAGCTCCTGCTCCCACATCTCTGGCATCCCAGGCAGCACCGGCAGGCCCAGGGAGAGCGATTAGGAAGGACAAACACGCAGCTATCCCAGCTGCTTTCCCACCGGGATAGGCTGCTTGGGGTGGGCTCGTTTCTCTGCAGGATTTGTTGCGGCTTTATTGTTTACGGAGACTTCTAAGGGCACTTCTGGGCCAGTTACACACACCTGGAGCTCAGAGCCCAGCGACAGCAATCCCGAAATGGTAACTGGAGCAGAGCTGTCGCTTAGACCGCCCAGGGCAACCCCCTCCCTGTCTCATCCACCTCCCCGGCTCGCATGCACACACTAGTCCTGCTCCACACTGAAACACAGAGCCCTGGCCCAGCACAGCCCCGTGGAGCACCCCCAGCAACAGCCCAGATTTGGCAAAACCAGCCCTAGGAGCCCAAACGCCTCCCTCCCAGCTGCAGGAACCCCCCTAAAGTGTTGTGAGGAGGAGAGGCCTCCTGCCCCGCTCCGTGCCCGGGGCGCTGCCTCGCTCTCACACTCCGCTCTCCTGCCCCAGAATCACAAGGAATCCAAGATCACCGTCTTCGAGAAAGACAACTTCATCGGGCGCCAGTGGGAGCTCAGCGACGACTACCCCTCGCTGCAGGCCATGGGCTGGCCCAACAACGAAGTGGGCTCCATGCGGATCCAGTGCGGCGCGTAAGTGACAGGCGCCGGCGCAGCCGGGCTCGGCGACAGGCAGGGGCCTGCAAAGGGGAACAAAAACGTAGCACAGAGAGCAGGGCCCAGCACACAACCCTCCTGCTCGTCCCTGTCCCTATGAGGCCCCCTGACAGCTCTGTCTCTTCCAGCTGGGCTTGCTACCAGTACCCCGGGTACCGCGGCTACCAGTACGTGCTGGAGGCCGACCACCACGGCGGTGACTACAAGCACTGGAGAGAGTGGGGCTCGCACGCCCAGACCTGCCAGATCCAATCCATCAGGCGCATCCAGCAGTAGCTGCCCGAGCTGGCCTGGCTCCCCACGTCGAGCACATCTCTGCAAGGTTTCCAAAGCTCACCGGCTCCCTCTTGGTGCTAATACTCCCCCTCCTGAAATAACAACCCCTTTCTCGTACTGCAACTGCTTATGGAACAACACTCCTAAATGGTACCAACTGCCACAATTGCCAATAAATGTGACTGAAGGAAAAAGATAACAGAGCTTGGTGTCCGTTTGCTGGTGGGGTTTTGGAAGGCAGGGACATGGGGAAAGTAACAAAGCCTCATGCCACAACCGGGGAACGGGTCTCCCTCATCCTTGCCCGGATGAAGCAGGACTGAAGTCCAGCAGAGTTCAGAGCAGGGCAAGTTCAAGGCACCGAGGCTGCTGTGCAGGAGGGCAGCGGTGCCCAGCGGGAGTAGCAAAAGGATTATTTGCTGCAGAGCTGCAGCCCCATCAGTTCCTTTCCCCCATTCTCCCTTTCCCTCCTTCACAGTAAAGGGCCTTTTGCTCTGCACCCACCCTGCCCATCACGGGACGCTCACGTATACGCGGCCACCTATACGGCCTGGCACGTAGGCTCACGTAGTGACCGCAGCTCTGAGGGACTGAAAATGAAGTCACTGGTCACGCAGCAGCCCCAGGGGCAAAGGGAGGCTCTGCAGGAGCGCAAAAGAAAGTCACACTGACACCCACAAACTTTAAAATCTTTATTCAACAATTTACATCACTTATTGTCTGTCTTAATGTATTCGATCTACACATTTTTTTTCCTGATAAAATAATAAAATTTGGATAAATTTTGAAGACCTGTTGGTGCAGAATAAACAAAATCCAGGTAAAATTTTTAAACATTTAGTGTGAAATATGACATCATCAGTAAAGATACATCATGCCATTACAGCTCATGGACATTAACCTATCCTTACAGTCCGCGACATCATCATCCATCCCCAGCGCAACCGCCTGCGCCAGACACAGCTACAGCAGGTTTTACACTAACTCCTCTCGCCACCCTCTCACGATCGGAAAATAAAAGCCTACACTTTGAGCCGGGTACACAGAGTGTGTTTGAACTATTCGGAAATACGGGGCAAGGGAGAAGAATGCGAGCTACCTTGACTGTTTGCGTGCGGTCGCACGCCGCGACGCCGGCGACGGAGCGGGGCCGCCCCTCTCCCAAAGTCCGAGGTAATTCAGCTCCTGAGCAGGTCGAGCACAACCCCTTGCTGTGATCTGAAACACACCAGGAAACTGAAGGGAAATGAGAACTTTGGGGAGAGGCAGGAGGGCGGCACGGCTGCCACGCGCTCCTAACACTGAAATATTCCGGGAGAGGGGGAAAAGGGGCGTCTGCTCCCCACGTAAACAAGTCGAGGACCTCCAGGGGCGTCCGAGCCGCTGGAGGTGTGTAAGTACACGCGTGATGGTAGATAGAAAAGCAGCCCTGTTCTGTATGAAAAAAAGCTGTAAAGTTAGTACAAATCTCTGCCATGGCAAAGGGAACACAAGGAGGAAGCTGCCGGGGGTACTTCTCCCACCGCAAAATCCAGGCTTTTCTGCACAAAGGGTCTGGGCTAAGCAACACGCTTTCAAAGGTGGTGTTTGCAAACCGACGCGCACAACTCGGGAAAACAAAACGGGAAGAAAGCCCCGGCGACCGGAGGGAGCCCCCGGCCCGCCCCACCAGGCCC